ATCAAGAATTACAGGAGGGAGAGGATACTTCTTGAAAAAGGGTGAAGTTCTCCCCATTATCTTGAGGTTGCCCATCAACCCTGTATCACGTAAGATCATTATAGCTGATGGAGGCTGACAAATTTCAGCCCATCAATCCGAAAGTTATTCAGATATAGTTTATGGGACAACTTGACTTACCCTGTTGCAAGGTTTTGAGAGAGAAATAAAATAAAATAAACTGGATTAACATTGCACTTAATTAAATCCGCCAACTAGTGGATATAGAAGATGGGTCTTCACACAGTCTTATTTCTGAAAGCATTGAACAATAGGGTGTATTCAGATCTCTCAAAGGAGGCAAAGAACTGTACTGTAATTTCTGCCAAGCATTGATCTGAGTGTCCTGATGTATTTTTAAAAGTTCTATTCAGGGGATGCAGGCATCAATAGCTGGGCCAGCATTCGTTGTCTATCCTTAATTGCCCTGGAGAAGGTGATATTGAACTGCGTTCTTGAACCTCAGCAGTCCTTGGGTGTAGGGAAACTTGGGGTGTCGTTTTTTTTAAAAAGATATTTTCACAATTTAATATTGGTGAGTGATTTGTTGGGCCATTTTAGAGGGCATTTAAGACTTAACTATATTGCTGTGTGCTCTGGAGTCACACATAAGCAGGACAGAAGTTTTTTACTGAGCCAGGTGGGTTTGACAAGAATCAGTATTGCTTTTATGGTTATCATTAAACTTTTAATTCCAGATTATTTTGAATTCAGATTTCACTATACGCCATGGTGGGATGTGAACTCGGGTCACCAGTGTATCACCTGGGTCTCCGGATTATTAGTCCACTGATAATGTAACTATGTCATTACCTGTCCATAAATCACATAAAAGATAGTATGCAGGTACAGGATGTTATTAGGAGGACAAATGGGATCACTATTTATTGCAAGGGGATTAGAACATAGAACATAGAACATTACAGCGCAGTACAGGCCCTTCGGCCCTCGATGTTGCGCCGACCTGTGAAACCAATCTGAAGCCCATCTAACCTAAACTATTCCATTATCATCCATATGTTTATCCAATGACCATTTAAATGCCCTTAAAGTGGGCGAGTCTACTATTTTTGCAGGCAGGGCATTCCACGCCCTTACTACTCTCTGAGTAAAGAACCTACCTCTGACATCTGTCCTATATCTATCACCCCTCAATTTAAAGCTATGTCCCCTCGTGCTAGCCATCACCATCCGAGGAAAAAGGCTCCCACTGTCCACCCTATCTAATCCTCTGATCATCTTGTATGTCTCTATCAAGTCACCTCTTAACCTTCTCCTCTCTAACGAAAACAGCCTCAAAACCCTCAGCCTTTCCTCATAAGACCTTCCCTCCATACCAGGCAACATCCTGGTAAATCTCCTCTGCACCCTTTCCAATGCTTTCACTTCCTTCCTATAATGCGGTGACCAGAACTGTACGCAATACTCCAAGTGCGGCCGCACCAGAGTTTTGTACAGCTGCAACATGACCTCATGGCTCCGAAACTCAATCCCTCTACCAATAAAACCTAACATACTGTACGCCTTCTTAACAACGCTATCAACCTGGGTGGCAACTTTCAGTGATCTATGCACATGGACACCGAGATCTTTCTGCTCATCCACACTACCAAGAATCTTACCATTAGCCCAGTACTCTGTATTCCTGTTACTCCTTCCAAAGTGAATCACCTCACACTTTTCCGCATTAAACTCCATTTGCCACCTCTCAGTCCAGCTCTGCAGCTTATCTATGTCCCTCTGTAACCTGCAACATCCTTCCGCACTATCCACAACTCCACCGACTTTGGTGTCATCCGCATTGGGATTGGGTTAGAGAATATAAAAATCTTATTGTAGCTGTACGGAGCATTGATGCATCTGGTGTACTGTGTAGAGTTTTGGTCGTCTTATTTGAGCGGAAGCTATAATTGCTTTAGAAACAGTTTAGAGAAAGTTCACTTGTCTTGTTCCTGTGTTGAAGGGTTCAGGAGAAAAGTTGAATAGGTTAGACTATACCCCATGGAGGTTAGAAGAAACATAAGATCATGAGAGGACTGGATAGGATGGGTACTTCAAGGATGTTTGATCTTTGGAGACAGTTTAAGAATAAAATGTCTCTCTTTTAAAACAGCCAAGGAGACATTTTATTTCTCTGAGAAGCTTGTTAAGAATTTGGAATTATATTCCCCAGAAAGAATAAGCTGGCTGTTTAAATGCAGTCGAGCAAACTTAGGTTTTTGATAGTCATGGGTTATGGACTGCAGACGGGAAAGTGGAGTTGAGATTATAACCAAATCAGCCATTACTTTGAGTAGTAGAACAGGTTTGATGACCCAAATAGCATATTCTAAGTCCTATGTTCTCAAACACAATTAAAAAAGCAGATAGTATTAAGTATTTTTCTTGGTCTCTTTTAAATGTTGCATATTTTTAATAGAGGGTCAATGCTATTATTATAAAATGCTGCCTTAAAAGTATCCTTTCTACTTAAAATAAATCCCTGCTGCTGTACTGCAGCATTTGATTTACCACATATTTGTGCCACGATTGGGTATCTTGGTTTAAGGTTTTTTTTGGAGTTGAAGTATTAAAGTTTTGATACTGAAAACTACTTTTTGGAAATTTAAGCTACATCACAGTGGTCTGATACTGCCTGATTTTATGCTGATAGTATGTGTTTTAGCCTCTGGAGCATGTGTGAACTAGTTAGCCTTAGTAGAATATGACCAAACTGTTGCGTTTCTTAACTATTGCCCATTTGCAATACCAGTTTTCTGCCACTAGATAGCATATCTATGCTTCATAAAGATCGTTGAAATATGACAATTTTAAAAAAAAAGCAAAATACAATGGATACTGACAATCTGAAATGAGCTGAAAATGCTGAAAAACATCATCGGGTAACGTCTGTAAAGAGAAAAGAATTAATATTTTGAGTCAGTGACTTTTAAGCAGAAGTATAAAAATAATTAGAAGTAAACCTTTGTTTACTAGACTATATTTTCAGACAAAATTATTTTGCTATAATTGATCAATTGATGCCTCAGAAAATGTTCCCTGTAAAGAAATTTCTTTTGTAATCTGATGTTTCCTGTATTTATAGACTACAATAATTTGGTCCAGAGACGCAGAATGTTTCAACAAACAGGCTGTTTTGCCACAGAGTTATCAAAATAATTTAATTGCCCTTTCCCCATAGTTGTACAAATATTTTCCTTTCAAATATTAAAAAGCTAACATTGAATCTGCTCCCATCAACCTTTTAGGCAGTACATTCCAGATTACAATTCTATCTAGTTCTTTTGCCAGTTGCTTTTGGTTTATGACCCTTCTGCCACTGAAACCAATTTTTCCTTATTTATTATATCAAACTCCATTGTTGTCTTGAATGCCTCTCAAATCTCTTAGTTGTCTGTGCTTCAGAGAGAACAACTCCAGTTCTTCAATTTTCGCTATTTAACCGAAAGCCCAATGATCTTGGTATGATTCTAGTAGATGTCCTCTGCACCATCTGAGGTCTTGAAATCCCTCTGAAAGTGCAGTGTCTAGAGCTGGACAATATTATTTCAGCTGAGGCCTAATTAGTGTGTTCATAAAGAAAAAGGCTTATCTTTCTTGCTTTTGTATTTGCCACTGTTCATATGGCCAAGTATCCCAGTTTAACTGCCTTCTCTAACTGTTCTGTCACATTCAAAGATTTGTATGTGTACGACACAGCTTGCTTTTATACAGCATCTTTTAATGTGAAATAACATTGAAGAGTGCTTCAAATTATAGTTATAAAGCAAAATTAGACACTGCACCATATTAGGTAATATTAAGGCGGACGGCTAAAGTTTGATCAAAGAAGTACTTTCCTAGTAATTTTCTTCTTGCACTATAAGACTGTACCAATTCATTTATATTGCTATTTCACACCTTCTGTTAAACTACATCTACTATATGCTTGCCCAATTCATCAGTCTGACTAATCTTCCTGATCTGGCACTTGATACTGTTATATTTTGTAAGATTCTTTAAAAATCTAAACTCTCTTTCCTTTTTCTCCTGTTAATATACCTTGATTTTGCTGGATCCTTCATACTTACAAAGAAACAAATTTGAAATATGGTGACTGAAATCACAACACCATGTCCCATCACTCGTGCCGTGTATGGTATTCTGTCTTACTGCACCATGTTCACCAGGAGCCCTGTATTAGGAGGCACTGAGTTTTTTCTTCGCATATTTAGGCAATGGTGAATATGTTAACCAATTTTCGGTTCAATCTCATGTTAAAACCTCACCTACAGTATTTGCAGCAGATGTGGATCCCACACTTTTATTAAGAACGTACTGGCCTTGAAGAGAATAGAGCCCAGGTTTATCGTAATGATACCTTGACTCTGAGAATTAAGTTAGGAGAAATTGCAATTTAGGGTTTTATTCTCTCAACTTTAAATAATATAATGTTGTTAAAATCTGAGTTTTTATTAAAATTATTAAGGAGAACAACATGGTATCATACAGATGCAATTTTTGTATTAGTATTTCTGTTGGAAAGGGTGTTTAGGTCTGGGGTATAGTCTAAAAATTGAAGCCAGACTTTTCTAAGAATGCTATTCAGAAGCACATTTACACATAACGACTAGTATAAGTGGAATTCTTATCCACAAATGGCAATAGATTCCAGATATTTTATACATTTTAAATCTGTCATGGATAGATTTATTCAAAATAATTAAAGAATATGAGGAAAGTGTATGTAAGGGTGTGCATAATAGCCCAACCAAAACTCCTCCAACATTCAAAACAGTCCTAATGTCCTGTCACTGCATTTTACCTTCCTGAGATCAGTTTTGTGTGTGTGCGTGTGTGTTCACAATCAGATTTCGATTTGAATTTTAGGGCAGCTGTCCATTTTCTTCCATCCTCCTCTGTAAACTGAAATGTCTTGGCTTTCCATGTTTGTATTTAAATGTTCTCTTTACCTCAAACAGGTATCACTCGACCAGTTGGGGAGCGTCTGCGGAGCCATTATCAGGATGACTGCACTGGGGTAATGCAGCGGCTTATTTTGAAAGAGCACAAACTGATCTGGAATAATTTGGCTAGGAGTTGGTATGCGTCCATAATAAGCCTACTTCAAATATAATTTTTTTTAATTTTTCATGTAACGTATTCTGTTATTTGGCATTATTTTCTGGACAGTTATATTCAAGACCAATTTTTTTTTCAAACAATAAATGTTGAAATATCAACACTATACTCCAGGAACAAGATGAAAAATATTCTAATAAACTACGAGACTGACTCCAAATTACCTTCTTACAAAGACGATCTTTGAATTTCCTTACAATATTGTGGGAGCAGTATTACAGAATGACTGACTGTCCAAGCAAAGACTTGCATCCGTATCTGTATCTAGAAATTATAGGTCTTTTATACATCTGAAAGAACTACTTCTATTCACTGCAGTAAGTTCAAGCAATAGTTCTGAGTCTTACTCAACCATCTACTTTTTATACAAAACTAGTTTAAGATCTATTTTGGTAAAAAAAAATCGTTTGAGCAAAAATAATGGTCTGAAAAAGTGCAGTTTTAGTTGCTGCTTTAAAAACTTAGTGTAATTTACTTCTACTTACTGTGCTATGTATTTGAGATGCTCGTTTATGCCGAGATTTTCGAAGTACAACTAGTTTACCATACACAGGAAGCTGTATAATAAATTCCTGGTACAAAGAAGCAGAATTGTATGCAGGGAGTTAATTAATCTGGATAAAGATCTTGAACCCAGTCAAAGTATCAATGGCAGTGACTTAGAGTTGTTGTAGACAGTAAATGGCATGTGAAGAGTATGGTACTTGCATTGTTCTTTAAATCATGTTAATGTGAGCCTGGACTTTAATAGATCTAATTTTTAATTTTGTGGACTGTGTACATAATAAAAGTATGTTGCCATCTGTCTAATGTCAACTTTTCCTTCCGGAACAGGAATGATAGTGAAAGGATTATACATCAAAGAGTGAATGTTGTGCCCTTTGACCTGATATCCCCTGAAGGAGGGAAGACTTCAATCCGTGTGATCAACCCACTGGAAGCATCAGGTCTGCAGTTTGAAACAGTGTATGAACGGTTTCACCAAGCAACACAAGGTTTCACTGATATTATTGGGCACTATCTAAGCGGTGAGAAACCCAAAGGCTTCTTGGAAACTGAAGAGATAGTCCGGGTTGGAGCCACTTTAACCGGAATTGGAGAACTAGTTTTGGATTCTGACAAGATCATCAAGCTTCAGCCTCCGAAAGCAGGTCTGGAATATTTTTTAAGCAGCTTGGACTTCCCAAGTATCCTGAAACAGCAGGAATCGAGCGTCAAACTTTGGAAGATGTTCATGACCATCTGTACGTTAACGGGCATTGCAGTGATTTTAGTTGTCCTGCGCAGAATGTACCATGAGTTCAGTGAAAAACAGGAACAGGAGGAACTGAGAAGGAGCTATGAACGGTTCAACGAAAGCAGAGGTATCACAGGTTCGACAGCAGATGGTGATGAAATACCAGAGAATGCATGTGTAATTTGTTTATCCAAACCACGAGAATGTGTCTTCCTGACCTGTGGGCATGTTTGTTGCTGCTATGATTGTCATCGGGCTCTTCCCTCCCCAATTTGTCCAATTTGTAGAAGTTATATAGCTAGAATTGTACCTCTTTACCAAGCATGAAAGTGTATTCCACACACTATACAAATCAATCAAGTGCCTTTAATTGCTGATCTGCACCAGAATGTCAAGTTAATGTGTTTATGTGGTGACCCCACTCCCATCACTATGCTTTCATTTTAATACTGTGTTACTGTCTGATGTTCCCTTTGTGTTAGCCACAACACCCAAATTAGCACTCAAGTTTCTGAATGTGTGATCATTGCCATTGGTTAATGGATGAATGACAGTGACATATGCTAAAAAGAGATTCATCAGTATCTTCTGATATACTGCACAATACCATATATCGACAAAGATCTAGCCAAACTAGTTAACCTGGATTGGTATTGATACCACATGGAACTTTTTTAACAAGGCACCTTTGGACCATGGAGAAAAACCATCATGAAATAAATTAGAAACACTGAACATAACCAACCATTCCTCAGCCAGCATTTCATAGTGTCACCAGTAATTTGTTTTAGCCTGGTGCAAAAATGCACATTAAAGCAGACTGGCATGCTGGAGTCACTTCAACTTGGATTGCAGCATGGTGAGTTCCTCCAAAATCTGCAGTTGTGTCCCTACACTAACTTTCAAAACAACTAATCAACATTTTCTTACATTAGAAGACACCTTTGTTTTTTTTAAAAAAAAAGCAGTGAGTGTACTGCCAGGGAGGTGAGACTAGAAACATGAGTGGACATTTTATGCCTGTTCTGGCACTTCCATCAATCTAGTCTTAATTTCTCAGCTGATTCCAGTTTTCTTACTGATTTCAGCTATTCACAAGCGAGGAATACCAGTGCATAAATGATTGGAAAAGCTAGTGGCATGATAATTTATATTGTTGAAGCTGAATACCGGCAATGTAAGATTGCAGTCATATAAGTAACAGAAATTGTTACTTAAGTACTGTTTAATATTTTTGCACTGAAATTAATGACCTCTCTCCATGATTGCTTTCTACCTTGATAAAAGAGAGTGAAGTTTTTCCCTGGCACTAGTAATGCTGAGATAATGCTGTAACTTTCACATAAACTGGGGGCAATGTGGTCAGAGAGCAAAACAACAGGGAAAGGAGACCAAACAGTTTGAAGGGCATGAAGGAGAAAGAAGGAAGGAAACTTGAGAGATTTGCGCAGTACAAAAAATGTATCCCTTTTTAAAATGTGAAAAACTGTCTAAAACAATATTAGTTTTTAATGGGCCTTTTTGTGAATTATAATCCTGTCCTAAAATAAGAAATGTACTATGAGGTGAGTTTATTTGCCTACATCGTACATTAGATGATAAGAAAGTGGAATACATCTGGACTGTTTAGGGTTACTTATCTTCTAGTTAAATTTACATGTTTATATATTCTGTATTATGTGGCAGCTCTTTGTTCCTCATTTGACTTTGCTGTTACCTGCAGACTTAGCTCCTTACTGTGACTCCTTTGGTCACAAAATACAAGAATTTCCATTCACTAATACTGTGCTTATAATTCTTTCACTTTATTTTTGATTTACTTTTAAATGTGCACTCAGACTTGGTCGTGTGTGTGTGTGTGTGTGTGTGTGTGTGTGTGTGTGTGTGAGATTTTATTTGCTCATCTAAAAATACTGTTTTCATTTGCCAGTGAATCTCTTGTATTAGTCTGTGACCCCCTCCATATGGTGCAGTTATAAAAACTGTATCAGAAGCGCAATGAAATTATTTTTTCAAAGCTGATTTTTTTCAGAAAAGTCCAAGGCAGTAATTATTTTTGTTGTAGGAAGTAAACATTGGAATGTAATTGTTATTGAGGTATACCTGTTGGTCTATGATAAAGACTAAATAAAAGCATTTGCTGATGACTGTTACCTGAGTTCTATCAAATTATGATAATCTACATTTTTACGGGATTGATAAAAGAAGGATAAACCTGCCTTTCCAACTGCTAATGTCCTTGTGCCTAACAATGAACTTTAACACAGTCAGTTAATTTGAGATGTAATCATTGTTCTACAAGCAACATGAAAGCTAATTTGAACATGTTCAAGTCTCGTCCAACGTTTTAAATAAATGACCAGTCAATCTGTAATTGGAGGTATTGGCTTACGAGCAAATATTGGTTAAGAGGTGAGGAGGAACTCCCGGCTCTTCCTCAATACACCTGGCACCTTTTTTATTTTTGCCTAAACAGACAGTTTAATTGAATAAACTTACTGTTATTTATTACACAATACAAATTGGATGGGAAAACAATAGCTGCAGTTCCACGAGATAAGAGTTCGGCTGAAAAGGTGACATTTGTATAAAAGACTGAAACACTTTGAAAATAGGATTGAGGTTCTTGGAGCTGAATAAATTGCTTGCACTTCTGCAAATCTTCATTCTGCAATTAAATCTCAGCTGTGTAGCAATTCCCAATCTTATTTTCAAATTTTTTTTGTATAACACTTAAGTTGGTCAATGCGTAAGGTGAACATCCTGCATTTCCAAAAAGAAAGCACCATGGGAGATTTTTGCATCCAATGAATTCAAAATTATAAACACCTTTCTACCAATAAACCACTGCAATTAAAATAAATAAAACCTTCACTGTAACACCTGACCAAATCACTGGCAGGTTTTATACTGAATGGAAGGCAATAGATTAGATTTCCTTTTTAAAAGTATTATTCTGCTTTTCAGAAATGTAGCGATGATGAATTTTGTAACATATTCTCTTAAAATTGACACTGTAATGCTCTGAGCCTAGGTATGCATTAATTCTATATTGAGGTAAGGATCAAACAAATGAATTATTTGTATTTCTGCCCTCTCTTAAATGGGTTTACTAGTTTGTATTGAAGCTATTCCAAATGTTTGCAGTGTTGCGCTAATCTGTATAATCATTAGCAAGCAGTTTTAGACTTCAAATGCAACAAATGTTCTTTTAATCAATTGAAAGTGATGCTCATGGTCATCATTTTAAGAATCAGCGCTAAGATTATTTTTGAACCACTTTGGATTTTCTAAATTGGGAATATTGTGACCTATTTGAACTTCAGTAGTTTCCTTTGCCTGCTCTGAGAGTGAAGTAATAGATGAATTGTTCTATTTTTGCATTATAATCTGATCTAAGTGTGTAATTTGAGTGGAATACATGATCTGAGATCTGAATTCAGAATCTCCTGTCTGGTGGCTACAGTTGAGTCTAATAAAGACTAGAAAATATACTGAAATGTAACTTTGAGATTTGAGATGTTGTTTAGCAATTTTTATTGTGGATACTCTATGGAGTGTCAACCCTGCTTTAGGTAGTTTGCTAAAAATAAATGAACTGGTAATCAGTTCAGGGTGGCTAATTAGAGCAGATTTCAGGACTATTTTCGCTTGAAGGATTTACGTCCTTAAAAATTTTTCAAAGTGGAGGTATATTGTGAGATCAGAGTACGTGACTGAAGAATTTTGTAAAAGTCAAGAAAAATTATAGCTACTTCAGTCTGAGGTAATTTCTTTTACCTAAAGTACTTGAGAGTAGATTATCGAGGACCGGGCGAAATGAGAGAATGGGGTTGGAGAAGAGGAGGAGAGGATGCGAATGGTGATTTTCTTATGAAAAGGTCAGTTAATATTCTGGATTTGACTTTTCCACGTATGAAGCATAACAATATGCAAGCACCAAAGGATATTAATTAACAGCTTTTGATTTTTGTTTTCTCTCCATTTGTTTGTTGAAAACAAAACAAGTTAACAAATTTAAAAGTAATCCATCTTGCTGTTAGAGGAAATAGGTGATGATCTACAATCATTGTAATAGTGGAGATTTTTGTACAATTGTAATTGAGCCCTGATTGTACGATAAGAACGAGGAGCAAGAGTGGGCAATTCAGTCCCTCGAGCCTGGTCTGCCATTTGATATGATCTCCTTTTAGCCTCAATCCAGTTGTGGGCACAGTGAATTGAAATATTATTCTATCACCTCTGGGTCTTCTACTTTGAAATACCACATGGTGATATGAAGGGTATGCTCAAAATTAACTTTGATCAAGCATAACAACTAGCCAATTGATGAGATTCGAGATGTAGTTTAGCAAAAGTTTATTGTGCCATTTAACTTTTTTTTTTACTTCCATGGCTGAGGATGTAGCTGTCATGGTCAGTATTTGTTGCCCATCTCTAATTGCCCTTGAACTGAATGGCTTGTGAGGTCACTTTAAAGACCAGTTTTGAATCAACCACATTGTTGTGAGTCTAGAGTCACATATAGGCCAGACTGCATAAGGATGACTGATTCCTTGCCCTGAAGGCCATTAGTGAACTGTATGGTTTTATTTACAACAATCAATGATGGTTGTCATTGTTTTCATTATTGAGACTAGATTTCTACTCCACATATATTAACTGATTTTAAATTCCACCAGTTGCCATGGTACCCAAATCCCCGAGCATTAGCTTGGACCTCTACTAGTCCAGTAATGTTACTACCATAGTACAGTCTTCACCAGATAGTAGTGTAGTAAATTTTAGACTTGTCTATTTGGCCCACCTATCTATATTCCAATAATGCACTTCCAATAGCCCTGAATCCCATTTGTTGACTACAGCCTAATGCTTAAAAGCATTAGTGTCTGATTCCACTGCCTATTCTGTGAACTTCCACACACTTACTGCACTTCTACCATTTCTTACTTTAGTCAATTGTTTTTCATTTTTAAGTATGACCCCCTTCTGCTTATAAACAGGCAGATGGATGTCACTGTTATAAATATGAATACATTGTTTTTAGTAGCCAGCAGCAGAAGACTATAGGCACAGATCAAACAGATAACATGGAAGCAGATGGAGATAGGTGGGAAGGAGAAAAGTACATACAGAGAAGGAAATTAAGAAGCCGGGAGCAGAGAGACAAAATCAAACATACCTAAGTGGGCACCATCTCTAAAAGATGAAACAATGTTGTAATGCTGTGTAACATCTAGTCTTATTTATCATAGGATGGTATATTTAAATCAGTGTTTTCTTTATATTCCCTTCATTACCCAGCACTGACAAATTTAACTTCATGACTTGTTCTGCCCTTTATCAGGAAGAAGAAACTGCAACCTACAGGTCTGTCAATTTTGTGTAGTGCCTCTTCTGTGAAACCGAGGGACATTTTGACATAAGTATGAGGAGAAAATGGCTGCTCGCACAAACGGTCAAAGTTGGAAAAACAAAGGGGTGGATTTTCAACATGGTATCCTGATTAAAAGCTGACATTGCAGGTCTGGATGCCTGTTGTACAAATGACTCCACTTTTTGAATGAAATCAGCCTGAAAGTGATGGAAAAATAACATGCATTTTTTGCCATCTATTAAATTGCAATCTATACAGAGCTGAACACAAGGTGCTTGAAAATTAACTATTGTACCTGTCACTGACCATTCATTGCATTTCTTATCGAGTAAATCCTCTGCAATGGCTTAAAACTGATTCCTCAGTTTGAAAGAGAGGCTGTCAAAAATGACTAAGATAAATGAAATTTATAAATGTACAGATGCTTGATTAGAAGAGCTGGTAAAGTTCAAATCAAACATTTATACAAATCAGTTTACAATTACTTTACAAGGATGTTAATGGCACTGGGTAGGCTCGGATTTTTTTTCCCTAGAACGCAGGAGTATAAGGTTTATAGAACCTTTTGTAGAGGTTTATAAAATCATGAGGGGCTGAAGTGAATAGCAAAGGTCTTTTCCTTAGGATAGGGGAATTCAAAACTAGAAGGCATAGTTTTAAGGTTAAAGGGGACCTGAGGGGCAATTTTTTCACAGCGTGTGGTGCATATATGGAATGAACTGTGTACATTATAGATGCAAGTACAGTTGAAACATTCAAAATACATTTGTACAGGTACGTTAATAGGAAAGGTTTAAAGGGATATAGGCCAAATCCAGAAAAATGGGAATAGTTTGGGAAACCTGGTTGCTTGGACGAGTTGGACCAAACGGTCCGTTTTCTATGCTGTATGATTCAAGGTCTAGTAGTTAAACAAAGTTGCTTTTTTTGGACACCTGGCCAGACTTTTATTTTAAATCTTAGAATATCTGCAACCTGGCAGCATTATTGGTCATCTTTAGTTGAGCTGTGGCTGTTCAGAATCAGTGCCAGATCAACTAGAGATGATATTTTCATTCCCAATCCAATAGCTTTTCTAGTCTTTTATTCCAAAATAAATTCCATTTCAGAATTGTTATGGGAATTTGTTCTGCCATGATCCATGTTGGCTTTTTTCATTGAATCGTCTACTCTTTATCACATCAATTATGCAATTGACCTCTGGTGCCTGTGTCATGGAATTGTGTGGCAGGACATTTTCGAACAATTGCCCACCACTTCAGATGCTGTAGGCCAAGAATTGGTGCTCTCACTGGCATTCCAGCATTGTCCACAAGAAATGGCACAAAAAGGGAAGTTAACTCAACTTTATAGATCGGGATCTTGAGGTACTAGTGGATGGGATGATGGAGACCAGGGTCATACTTTCTCTTGCTGACCAGCAAAGAACTCAGCTGGTCTGGACTTAGATGGTGACTGCAGTATCCTGGGTTAAAAGGAACTGGCAGGAAAAAGGTGAATATGTTGTACTCTACAAGGATAAGTGCCACTGTTTTCTCTCCATTACCTTGCTCTCACAGGGCCACCATTCACTCAAACTCTGCCACAATACATGCTTCTCTGTAAAGCTCATGGATGACAACTCCCTTATATGTCCACAGGTCAATTCAATAGCTCTCACCCACCTCATCCTCCCAAAATATTAACCCCACAAGACGCTTCCAATTCCTATTCACCCGCTGGGGACACCTACACCTCCTGCCCTTGCATTGCCACCATCACTCCCCTGTTTGTATC